GCTTTTACTGTACGGCTACATCTAGCCTGGCCCCTAATTCCAGAAAAGTCATGCAAAGCAGGTAAGTCAGAATAGGGAAATCCGCGGGGGATTTAAATATCCCCCGCGGGATTTAAATAAACATGTCCGCCGCTTTTTTCCCGGCTTTTCCCCACAGGCCGGAAAAAAGCGTCTAGACTAGCGCGATCCTCCGGAATAAAGCCCTTTTCCGGAGGATCTCTTATTCCTACTTGAAAGGAACGTATGCATAGTGGTACTACGCCGGAGAAAGTAGGAATAAGAGATCCTCCGGAAAAGGGCTTTATTCCGGAGGATCGCGCTAGTCTAGACGCTTTTTTCCGGCCTGTGGGGAAAAGCCGGGAAAAAAGCGGCGGACATGTTTATTTAAATCCCATGGGGGATATTTAAATCCCCCACGGATTTCCCTATTCTGACTTACCTGCTTTGCATGACTTTTCCGGAATTAGGGGCCAGTCTAGACGTAGCCTAGTAGTAATAATAATAATAATAATAATAAATAGGACCTGAGATTGGGTTTCAATTCCTGAATCTGCCACAGACCTCCATTATATCCTTGGGCAGTCATTTAAGCTTCCAAAGTCCCATCTTTAATGTGTAAAAATTGAACTAGGATCCTTAGAGGAAAGAAATCTGAAAAGAAACCTTTTCTCTTGTCCATTAGTGCATTCTCTTATGGTTTTAAAATTGCGGTGGCCCTTTCTTGGCTGCCTCACTGCAGGAGTCAGGATTAACTGACGTGGTGCCCTGACAGGTCTCTTGCTCCGTCAGTGATGATAGCTATTCGGCTGCCTGCGTGTGTGCTCGGTCCTGTGTGCTGTGGTGACCTGGGCAAGTAGTGAGCATGACAGACTCCGAGAGAGCCCCCAAAGGCCACAAAATCAAAGGCGCCCAGCCAGATTTATTGTCAAACGAAGAACTGCAATAGATGGCAGCAGACTCTACTGAACCACTATGCATACGTACCTCTGCAATGGGAGGGCTGTCAGAGACATGGAATCCATCACTGCATCCTAGGCTGGACAAAGGCAGCCCCTCGAAGACACCACTTTATATACAGGTACAAGTTACCATCACTCTTGACATGCCAGGTATCCACCCATCTGACGCTACTCAGATATCACCCATCACCCTGCACCTCACGGTTCGATCATACATCTCTATCCAGCATGTCGTCACTTTAGACACTTTCCTGGACCTGGGTCGGGATCTCTGGGGAGCGTGGGTACCAAGGTCCTTTTTAATGAGCTAGTGTTGCCTTCCTGTTGGAATATGCTTTCAACTTATGCCTAGTACCAATGACTGTTACAGTCGGTATCTACCTAGTACCAATTGCTATTCTGCACCTGGGCCTGGTACCAATTAGTGTTCTACACTCTCAGGCCTGTCTGTTCCACGTTCTGTGAGCAGGGGCCTACTTCTTGTTCACAGCTTAGCTTTGTTTTATAGTAGTGAAGTTTTGACCATTGTTAGCCAAGACTCAAACTAGGCCTGTGTTATATGGACTTTTGTTTCAGGCCCACATATTACTACACTCACCAGCAGAATTTATAATCTCAGCTCATGTAACATCAGTGTTACCACCAGACAAAAGCAGATAGCTCAGACTTTAGGGTGCAGAAATGCAAATGAGGATGTGACCTGGTCTTTGCATATTTGACATTAAAACTGAGACTATAATAGCATCCTTGTTAGAGCTTCAGAAATTACATGTACTTAAACAGCTATTTTGCCCCCAGTCCTTGTTTCATTTGAAAAATTACAGTAGTTGCAATATTGCTAGTCAATTTCAGGCTTCTTCCCACTTGTCCACAGTATGATAATACCATGGAGCACGCGCCATCTGGTTTTCCAATTGTGAAGTATTATGATCCCTGTGCTGACCCTAACTTAGGCGGTGCTCAGGTGAGGAGGGATTGTAGAGGTTGAGTTTCAGTCAAATCACCACCAAAAATGTCTTTGTTTATATGAAGGAAACTCTATGTAGCTTTATGTGCAAGTTTCAGAACTTCCTGTTACCTCAGTAACTTTTAGTATTCACAGTGAGGGTATGTCTACATTGCCCCGTAGGTTGAAATAGCTTATTTCATTGAAATAACCCACTATTCCGAAATGTCCCATTGCTTGTGCAATGAGGTTTACAGGGACGTCAGAATAGCAAGCCTGAAATAACGGGCTTGCTGTTAAGATGCAGGATAGCTGTATCGGGATACTCTGGTATCCTGAAATAGCACTGCAAAGTAAACGTAGCCTGAGAGTGTATTTCAGACTCTGATCTGATTCTTTTGTGTTGTTCCTTATTTGTGTTGTGCTTTGTTATTGTAATGCAACAGCAGAATATCTGTTGCTTAGGCTTTTAGTAATTCAGGAATTTAGTAATTCCACAGAGGGAGTGAAAGAGAAAGCAGCTGCAGTCTCTGCCTCTCATCAGCACTCGGACATGAAGGAGGATTAAAGATGAGCATGTTGCACGTGATGACTTACGGGCCTGATGTACAGACGAAAGCCTGCGTTTTTGCACACAGTTTCTGTGCCTGAACACAGAGATGGTTGCGATATTCTGGACATAAACAAGGGCAGAGTGACCAACCATGCCTGCACAAGGCAACCACATTGTGCTTACAAAACTGTAGGTCAAAAAGGGAAAACAGAATAAGGACCCTGCTTTTATTACTCTTAATATTTCTCCAACACTTCCACTCCCTGCCCTGATTTCTAAAAACAATATCACCAAATTGGCCGCTAAGGCTGTGCTTTTGGTTTTTATAAAATCTAAACCTTTGGAAAATGTTAAGTGCTTTTTGTCAAAACTCACCCTACAATGCAATTATGGTGATGCTAGGAAACAGAAATGTGATTCATTGAGCGTATGCCAAAAAAATGTACTCACCAACTTTACACAGATAATGAAAGGTGGGGTTGCATCTCGGAAATGTTTTATGGGAATCTGGGGTTTTGGTCTCTCCTGCAAAGAGGGATGTTTGAGTTAGAAGACAGAATGAAATTGTATTCGAAGATCATGTGTTCGAATAGCCCAAGAGGTTACATACTCAAACTCATTACTTTGCTTTTCACTTTAAATCTAATGTAGTTTTTGGGTCACAGCAAACAACCACTTTCTGTAACACCCAGTAACTATGATCATCTGACTGTTGCTCTTTCAGTACAATCAGCGTTCTTAGCTCCAAGCTAGAGACTGTTGTTTTCAAGACCCTCTTTATATGACAACACTTCTGAGATGTGTACCTGCCTTAGACAGATGCACACATGATTTCACGCCAGAGCTGCTTATACAAACATTTCAACTGTATCCTCAAGAATGAAAGCCTTGGATGCTACAAAGTCACTAATCACCTTCAGTTCTCATTGCTGTCGGCAGGAGCTCACAGCATACATCCACTTCTCAGAGCACTGGGCTTCAAGGGTCTGGCTGGCCAGTAAAAACAAAAGCGCTGAATCTGGCAGCATAGTCTCGTATTTGCATTAGGACAGACGGACTTTCTTTTTGGATGGTTCATTTACAGCTATTTAAATATCATCTTTCTTTATCTTGATTAGCACAAAATCTGCTGCCTACATTTATTCCAGTGATTCCCCGAGGGACCACGTTGCCATCTATCGTGTGGAATCATTCAAAGAGAAATGCTGTGCTATGCTGAATATGGCTCTGTAAATAACCACTACACTTTTCTTTCTTTCTACAACCACAGCTGTTAGCTTTTATGCATCCTGGGCAAAATCTTGCTCCCAATGGAGTCACTAAGAAAACTCCCACTAACTTCAACAGGAGTTTGGCTCCATACCAGGGCGGGCAATCATTTGTAATGAGGGGGCTACTCTAAGATTTTGGCAAGTGCTCAAGGGCCGCATTTCTACCGAGAGGGCTTGGGGTCTGGGACAGAGGTTGGGTGCAGAAGGGAGCCTGAGGTAGAAGACTGGGGTGCAAGAGGAGGTGTGAAGTCTGAGAGGGAGTGTGGGTGAAGGAGGGGGTTGTGATGTGGGGCAGAGGCTTGGGGGGTAGAGTCCAGGAGGGAGTGGGGGGGTGCAAGAGAGGATTCTGGCCTAGGGGAAGGGTATAGGAGAGGGTCTGAGAGGAAGCAGTGACCTGGGAGAAAGGGATATAGAGAGTTTGGGTGGTGGCCTGGGGCAGATAGTTGCGGGGGGAGAGTGAGGGTGCCAGAGGCAGGCTCTGGCTGGGAGGCTCTCAACTAGGCAGCTCCCAGTCAGCAGCCCTGCAGGAACCTGAAGGCTGCAGTCACAAGCTGCTCCTTATAGCTCTGCTCCGGGCAGGGTGAAGAAGTGGGGGAGGAAGGAGGCTTCATTGGCTGCCCCTGCCACCAGCAAAATATCTCAACTGCTATTGGTCAGAAACTGATCAATGTGTGCTAAAAGATTTTGCTGAGGGCGGGATAGAGCACAAAGCCTCCCGCCTCACTTGCTGCTACCACGCTTTTTATTGGTATAAGTTATTGAGCTCCTATGTCATGAAACCGAACATCAGTCCATTTCCAATCTCTTACTCAAAATCAGCTGAATCTTCATAGAAAACATTCTTTAAGGATATCATTCTCCTTCCAGAAATCTGCCCCCTCCAACTCACTTGACTCCCTTTCTTAACCTGCACTTCTAGAGATAGCTACATGAAAACAGGATCCTTTTTCTGAATAGTCTCTGCTCCTGCCTGTTTATTCATAGAATCATGGAACTGGAAGAGACCTCAGAAGGTCATCGAGTCCAGCCCCCTGGTCTAGGCAGGACCAATCCCAATTAAATCAACCCAGCCAGGGCTTTGTCAAGCCGAGACTTAAACACCTCTAGGGATGGAGACTCCACTACTCCCCTAGGTAACCCATTCTAGTGCTTCACCACCCTCCTAGTGAAATAGTTTTTCCTAATATCCAACCTGGACCTCTCCCACCACAACTTGAGACCATTGCTCCTTGTTCTACCATCTGTCACTACTGAGAACAGCCTCTCTCCATCCTCTTTGGAACCTCCCTTCAGGAAGTTGAAGGCTGCTCTCAAATCCCCCCGCACTCTTCGCTTCTTCAGACTAAACAGACCCAAGTCCCTCAGCCTCTCCTCATAGGTCATATGCTCCAGCCCCCTAATCATTTTGGTTGCCCTCCGCTGGACCCTCTCCAATGTGTTCACATCCTTTTTGTAGTGGGGGCCCAGAACTGGACACAATACTCCAGATGCGGCCTCACCAAAGCCGAATAAAGGGGAATAATGACATCTCTGGATCGGCTGGCAATGCTCCTCTTAATGCATCCTAATATGCCATTAGCCTTCTGGGCTACAAGGGCGCCTGTTGACTCATATCTAGCTTCTCGTCCACTGTAACCCCCAGGTCCCTTTCTGCAGAACTACTACTTAACTGGTTGGTCCCCAGCTTGTAACTATGTACAACTGTAGTCACAGCTATTGGTGAGGAGACCTTAGGGTACAGAATTTCAGTGGTTTCATTGCAGCCTGGCTCAGGACAGACCAAAACATGTTACCATCTGTTCTATGCACTAGTGAAACGAGTTGCTGCTCTCACTGAGTTCTCATATTACAGAAATCGGAGGGGTAGCTGTGTTAGTCTGAATCTGCAAAAGCGGTGAGGAGTCCCTTTGGCACCTTATAGACTAACCGAAGTGTTGGAGCATAAGTTTTCGTGAACAAAGACCCACTTCGTCAGATGCATGTAGTGGAAATTTCCAGAGGCAGGTATAAAGTGTAGAAGAGTCCTGTGGCACCTTATAGACTAACTGAAGTGTAGGAGCATAAGCTTTCGTGGGCAAAGACCCACTACGTCAGATGCATGTAGTGGAAATTTCCAGAGGCAGGTATAAACAGGGCTCAACAAATGCACTCGCCCGCTCACCCACGGCGAGTAGATTTTATCAGCTGGCGAGTGCAGGGGCGGACTGGCCCGGTGGGTGGTTGTGACGGGCTGGCCAAAGCCCGCACTATGGGCGGCGCGGCCCCATCTGATCCACTGGCCGGGAGGAGGAGTGGAGCACCACCGGGAAGGGGGAAGTGCAGTGATTCTCAGCACCAGGCTGCCTGTGTGCAGCTCTGGTGCGAGGAGGCGGGGCCAGAGGCGGGATGGTGACAGATGCCAGGACGCTGGTGTGACATGGCCCCACTGATTTTAAAGGGCCGTGGCAGCTTGGCTCTGGCTGTGTGGCCCCGGGAGCTGGCTGCGGCGCAACCA